GGAATGGCAATGAATCTTTCGCTTTTTTATACTACTTTTTAATTTTTATAAATAATTTTTTTACTAAATTAACTTATTACCAAACGAAGCTTAAATACAAGATAATAATTGGTATATTTGGAACTCTTAAAATATTATTGTATACTGTCATTTATTAATTGATATATTTCACGCTGTCTTTCAAAATATCAACGCAAAAGTAACGAACTCTACTATTTAAATTAATGATTATTAAATTAGAGCATCATATAAATTTGTTTTGAAACATTGAACTCATAACGTAATGTGGTTAGCATGGAATTACTGAAGGGAAAAGGTGAAAACTATACATTAACTATGGTTCGATATATACATTCTTTATGACACATATCACTACAAGAAAAAGTACCTTTGGTGATTAAATATTTAGTCGTCAAAAGTCTATTTTTAGTCATCAAAAGTCGACTTTTCACTTTTCCAGACTAAAGGTATTGGCGACTAAAAAAGTTTTAGTTGGCAAAAAATAGGTCTTTAGCAACCAAAGCTTTTGTCGCCAATAGTCAATTACATTTTTGAAAATTATACATTTAACGACTAATCTTTTAGTCGCCACTAGTGAATTATTTTTTTTTATTTATACATTTGCCGACTATTTTTTTCGTCGCCAATAGTCAAGCTTTTGGCGACTAATTCCATTTTAGTCGGCAAAAGCATATTTCAGAAAAAAAAAATTACCCTCTGTTGTTCCCAAGTTTCAAACCACTAACCTCCCACATTCTAAACTTTTAAGCAACACACACATTCTCCCCACTATGTCACTACAACATCATATGAATATAAATGCAACATATATTATTTAGATAGTATATTGACCGGTATTTAGTATATTGACCGGTATTAATACAAAACTATATATATATAAATAATTATTTTTATTTAATATAATTTATGTAAAAAATAAATTATTTACTAAAAAAAATAGGAGACCACTTTTGGCGACTAAATCTGTTTTTTAGTCGCCAATTCTATACTTTTTGGCTACAAATTACTTTTTTGTCGCTAAAAGAATTAATTCCCGCCTAAAAGCTCCACTTTTGGCGACTAAACTAAATTTTAGTCGCCAAAACCCTCCACTTTGGACAATTAAACTGAATTTTAGTCGCCAATTGTTGACTTTTAGCTACTAAATATCTTTTAGTAGCCAAAAGGCTTTACTTTTGGCTACGAAATTTTTTTTGTCAGTAAAACACATATAATCGGTGACCAAACTATTTTTTAGTCGCCAAAACCTATACTTTTGGCTACTAAATGTTTTTAGTCGCCAAAAACTTTGACTTTTGACTACTAAAATTTTTTTAATCGCTAAAACCCATATAATTGACGATAAAACTATTTGTCGTCAAAAATCTTCACTTTTGACTACTAATTTTATTTTAATCACTGAAAATGCTACTTCCAGCGATGAAATTGTTTTTTAATCGCCGTATGTACTTTTTGTTGTAGTGTACCCACACAACAATACAAACAAATGCAAAACTATTCCAACATTGGAAATAAGTAGTGTGATCCTCCGTTGACAATTCAAAGACCCAATTTGTGGTTCTAGAATTGTTAATTATCCAATGCCACTAATCTTGAAAAGGACGTATCGAAGAGTTCAGATTCTCTAAAATATCTTTTTTAGAATGAATAATTTTTTTATGATTATTATACTTTTAACTTTTAATTATTATAAAATTAAATTTCAATCATTTAAAAAATTACTTTAAAATAATTATAAAAAAATTGCTTTACAAGATCCAACCTCTACATTAAATGGGTGTGATTGATGATTAAATATTAACTATTATTATTCAATGAGCATTTTTCTTTTTTTAGAACATGAGAAACAGTATATTAATAAAAGATAATAACAGTACATAAGACCCCAAAGGATCATTTCAACCAAACAACAAAACCAAAACAAAAACAAACACAAACAACAACAAAAATAAATCCGTCAAAAAAACAGTTACGATCCAAAAAAAATCACCGATCTGTTCAAATATGTGGTTTAGAAAGCAAGATCTACTCGAAAGCCCGCCGTCCTGTTGATGTCGTCCTGGTCGCTGCAGCCAAACTCCACCACCGCTGTCGCCGGAGAAGGAATGACACCCACAATGGTATGAAAAAGGGTTGAGAGAGGAGAAAACTATTGTGGGTGTTGAAAATTTAAAAATCTATGCCAAAATCGGAGGAGAAAACTCTCAAAACTCCTATTTCAGACATAAAATGTTCAGATCTGCACTATAAAACTAAAGATCTATATTATAAGAGTGTAGATCTACACTTTAAAAGTATAAAAAATGTCACCGAAATGTCACCGTCGAAGCATGACTGAAAATCTCTTAGAGAAAGAGGCTGTGCACCCTCTCTCTCTTTGGAATCTTTATTTTTTTAATGGGTAATTTTAATTTATAATAAAAACCAAAATAATATTAAATTAGTGAAATACAAAACTCTTCAACTTTTATTAAGTTTTATAATTTTTTATTGATCAATAACACACATATCATATCATTCGGATTAAAAAAGGCCTAATCACAGAGGGATAATCTCTGGAGCTAAGGCTCCAAATCTTACCATGAGATAGTTGCTACACAGAACGGTCACTCAACCATATAACAGTTAAGTCACAGACTCGTACGCAAACAGAGATTCAATCATATATACTGCCATTCGAGTGACTAACTCAAAAAAAAAAAAAAAACTCAGACCTCTGAACTTATGCCCCAAGATCTTGCCAGATGGCACAACCCTTAGGCTCAGATTATTCGGATTATACTTTATTTTTGGTGATTGAAAAAAAAAACTTCAAAACAATCCCAAAAAAAATAAAAATAATAATAATAATAATTGATTTCAAGCATTTGGTGGGGCATCGCCGCTGCTAAGTGACAAGTACCGACCAAAGTCACTGCGCATGCTGAGTGTTGTTCGTTATGGGTGTTTCGTGCAACTCAGGTGAGTTGCTTATAATTTATTTTATTTTAAGATGTTTTAGGAAGATGGGTGAAAGTTATTTTTTGATTATTTTTGACTTTTTTATGAGGGAGGAAATTGGGATAAAAGCTGAAAAATAACTTTTAACCCACTTCATTTTTATTAAATTATTTGATATAATTTTTGTTTATAATGTCAATTTTTTTTTTTTAATGCCCTAATATCAAATTATTTGATATAGTTTTTGTTTATAATTTATGAAATATAAATTAAAGATTTTAATTATTTAAAAGTTGAAAAATAAATTAACTTTACATCTTATTATCAACTTTTAATTTATAATAATCTAATTACATGTACAATTAATTGAATTATAAAATTTTAAAATCTTGAATCAGTCTAATAAAATCATGTGGGTGCTTGGAATTGATATTTTTGTAATTTTTTTGTTGTTTTTTTTTAATTTGATTTTTAGTGATTTTTGTAAAAAAAAAATTAGAAAATTAAACTTTTAAGTTCTATGATTATGGGTTGGTTGGATGTGATGTTTTGTTTGTTGTGGCTAAAATAGCCTATTTTGTCTTTTGTGGCTATTTTAGCCCCAACCCACTTGCCAAACACCACCTGAGTGTTGTTCGTTATGGGTGTTTCGTGCAACTCGGGTGAGTTGCTTATAATTTATTTTATTTTAAGATGTTTTAGGAAGATGGGTGAAAGTTATTTTTTTTGATTATTTTTGACTTTTTTATGAGGAAGGAAATTGGGATAAAAGTTGAAAAATAACTTTTAACCCACTTCATTTTTATTAAATTATTTGATATAATTTTTGTTTATAATGTCAATTTTTTTTAATGCCCTAATATCAAATTATTTGATATAGTTTTTGTTTATAATTTATGAAATATAAATTAAAGATTTTAATTATTTAAAAGTTGAAAAATAAATTAACTTTACATCTTATTATCAACTTTTAATTTATAATAATCTAATTACATGTACAATTAATTGAATTATAAAATTTTAAAATCTTGAATCAGTCTAATAAAATCATGTGGGTGCTTGGAATTGATATTTTTGTAATTTTTTTGTTGTTTTTTTTTAATTTGATTTTTAGTGATTTTTGTAAAAAAAAAATTAGAAAATTAAACTTTTAAGTTCTACTCAGCTAATTGAACAAAAATGTAACAAAAATTTTTTTTACTAAAAACAAAAAGAAAAAGACAAAATAAGTTGACTTTTTGAACTTTTTTTAGTATTTAAAAAAAAAATAATTTGCCGTGTTAGAAAAATAATTTTTTTGACACAAATTTTTTTAAAAAACTTATATTAACTAGTTGCCAAACCAACTTATTTGTTATTTCTTTATTATATTTATTAAAAGTGAGCCCCATTGTGTTATGATTTTTTTTTTTTGAAATAATTTATACTAATCTCCCTTGAAATTTAGAGTAAAAATAGGCTAAGTGTTATGTGAAATTAAACCTCAAGAAGTCTAGTGTAATTATGTTAAACTTGTAAGACTTAATATATTTTTCTTCAAACCTCAAACAGTCATCATAATTTTCCCTAATGTTTATATTATTTTATTTTATGTTTCTTATTTATAATAAATAATTTTTTATACTTAAATATAATACATTTTTTTTGTCTTATTTTTTCACTCTACACAAAATAATAAGACCTTCATTAATAAATGCGCATAAAAAGCCATTCATGTATAAAAGTAAAAGAAAAATAATTATACCCAAGAATTTCTTAACAATAATAATCACCAAATGATAAATAACTAATACCAATCTATAAAAATCTCTCACATTACACAATATCAATTGTTATATAAAATTGGCTAAACTCATGTTAATATGCAACACTCGTGTTACAGAATATTTTTTAAATGAAAACGGTGATTGTAGTGAAATATTTTTTAAATATATTTATAAATGTTGGTAAGAGGTATTTTTCGAATACATATTAAAACGATTCTGTTTTCTATTGTACATATTTTTATATAAAATAAATAATATTTTAAAATTTTAATATAAGTACACCCATTAGTAAAATCTTACATTAAAAAGCATTGTATCATGAATTTCAAAATACAATGTTACAACTTTTTCACATGAATAGGATTTAATCTCAAAAACACAACTCTCTGTACAGAATGCCACTTATGTATTTAATGTGTCTATGCAGGGAGTTGTATCTAACTCTATAATAATAATTATGCGGGCTTAATATTTTTCATAATTTTAACAATTTTTTTTGTTTAAACACTAATCACATAGCGACCCCACTTTTCAGACAGGATGTCATTCATTATCGGCCTTCAACGAGGAAATCGGCAAACTCAAAGTCAAACTCGCCGAGATCATCCTCGCCGTAGTAATTCTCCAACACCGACGGATGCGGCAAACATAACGGCAAGTCGATGTCAAATCCGAAAACGTCAACGTCACCGTAACTGAATCCGTCGAACGGCGTTAACTCCTCGTAACAGAGAACTGACTTCGGCGACGACGCTTCAACCTTCTGCAACCCTTCACCGTCTTTCTTAACGTCGTCAACCACCGCCTCCGTTACATCTACCTTAGGAAAGTTCGTAACGGCGTCTGGACCCTTTAAGTTAACGGCGGCTCTGTCATAGACTTTGGCGGCTTCCTCAGGCGTGTCGAAAGTCCCGAGCCAGACCCGCTTTTTCCGGGCCGGGTCTCGGATCTCCGCAGCCCATCGACCCCAAGGCCTCTGACGCACGCCTCTGAACTTTTTCCGGCGAGATGTGTCAGATTCCGGCGACCCAAAGCTCCGTAGCTTTCTCCTCTTTCTTTGCTGTGGCTTGGGTACTGAGTGAATCGATTGGTTGAAGTGGATCTCTTTGACATGCCTCTTCACAACTTTGGCATCATCGTCGTCGTCGCTGGAGTTGTCGGTGGCGTCGGGGTCGGCGAGTATAATCCGAACAACTTTCCACCGGAAAGTGGTCGGGAAGTTGCCGGGACGTTCTGAGAATTTCGTCACCGGATTAGCAGACATCTTTTAGAGAGAGATCAGGAGGAGAGAGAGGAAGAGGTGAGGTTTAAAGAGAGAAGGAGAGTGTAAAGAAGTGAGAAGTAGACGGAGAGGTAGTAAAAGAAATATGGAGAGAGAGAGAGAGAGAGAGGTTTTTGTGGTTTTGGCGGGAAACACGCTTCTCTGTCTTTATATTAGGGACCAAGATAAAAATATCATCAAATATTTTATAAAAATTTTCTATTATTTAATTAATATATAGTATTTTATTATATGTATTCACATCCAACCCATAATCATTACATTCTTTCTCTCATAAAAAAGTAAAAAAAACCTAAAACCCTTCCCAAACCAGGTTTTTTAGCCTCAGGCTAAAAGAGCCAAAAAAGTCAAAAAGCCAACCCACTTTCCAAACAACACCTCAATTTGTTTGGCAACGGCTTTTTTTTGGATTTTTTGAGCTAAAATTCACAACAAAACAAAATAGGTTAAAATAGTCAATAAGAAAAAATATCACATCAAATCCATAATCATTTTACTTTTTTTCTCACAAACATTACATCTAACTACAAAAAAATCTATCTTCCAAAACACAAAAATTTTAACTTACTAAAATAGTTAAAAACTAAAATAGTTTACGAAAATAACAACTTCCCAAACACCCACTTTATTTTGAGTGATTTTATTCATCAATAGGGGACCATCCCAAGCCATAGAAAGTTGCATCACCGATACAGGAATCGTTGGCCTAACACATGAAGGATTTAGTGTGCCTATTTCTATGCTTATCTAATCTAGTAATATGATAATTAATTAAAATATTAAAGGTAATATTTTTCTCATAATTTTTTAATTATCAACTAATTATATTACTTATACATCATTGGATCTAAAAATTGAATTTTTATATTATTTTTCAAATTTTATACTCAATGTGACATGTCCATAAAGATTATAGTCCACCATTCATAGCTCAATACATAACTCAAATGTTAAAGCCTAGCACTGCTGAAGCCCCATATAGCAATAAGAACCAATGACACCAAGACACATGGCGAGAGAAAGGCAAGCCACATCAGCAGACAAAGATCTGCAAAGTAAATGCCACGGCACATTGCCATTAATGAGGCCCCTTACAACATTTAGTGCAATAACCCCTCTCCGTCGGAACAAAACGCCTTTACCATGAACAAGGTAAGTTAGAGCATAGACTTTCGGCCAATGTGACAGGTTGAAAATGACAACGAAATGATTACCAAAGGATATAAACAAAGGTTGAAGACAGAAAGAAGGTTAAGTTTTCTAACTCTAATCCATCACTACACTCCACTTTTCTTTCTAACTTGCTCATCGGAGGGTTCGCTGGGGGACTCCTGTTCCCCGTTAAACTCTTGTGCAGGTCTTCTGGTGGGCTTGGTCATTCGGACGTAGGATTGAGGAGCGTGGATCAGTCCAACCCGTTCCTTGGAACGAACGGTCTTCTGGTGGGCTTGGTCATTCGAACGTAGGATTGAGGAGCATGGATCAGTCCAACCCGTTCCCTGGAACGAACTGTATCATCATAATGAAATCACTGATATATCTTTATGGTATTTGATTATATTTTATTGAGCTATTAGTTATGGCATTATATTTGTTATAATTTAAGAACTATTTGATTATACCTTAGATGACATTTGATTATAATTTTTTTTTATAATTATAACTTTTATCAAATTGATATTTGTAGTAATCAAAATCACAAATATCATAACTTGCATAGCATTGCCCATTTTTATGCCTTTAATTAAAAAAAAGTGATTTATATATAAATATTTCATACATAAAATACATTCAAAATAATGTGATAGTAACATGTTTGTAATTAGGAAAATTTTACTATACACACTTATTGAAAATGATATATCATATGCATTTTTAGTTATAACATTTTTTCTTCAGTTATAATCAATTTTTTAGTTACGACTTATGAGATCTTTGGTTATGTCTCATATAGTATTTAGTTATGTTTTTTCTTTAATTATAAGTTGCATATACTATAGTCTTTCCCTTGTAATTATGAATCATAATTATAATTATTTTGATTAGAAATTAAAAATTAAAAAAACCATTATATATAAAAAAAATTATACAAAAAATTTTGTTTGCATTAGCATAAAAAGGGGTATTTTGAAAAGATGGTTAAAAGTTACTTTTTGATTTTTTTTTAATTTTTTTGTGAGAGAAGGATGTGAAAAAAAAATTGATCTCAAATATAGAAAGTAAAAAAACAAAATTTACTTAAAATATTAAAAAAATTCATAAAAAATAAAAACAAAATTATGAAAAATAAAAAAAATCAATTTTTAAAAAATTAATTAAAATCCAACAAGGTGATTGATTTGCAATTTTCCCATAATCTTTGAACATGCTGCCCATAACATACCGTCCAAAACATACCCTTCATCTTCCCCCGTCATGTCGAAGTGGAAACAGGAACTGGAATGTCCCTACAGCTTGTCTAGTTGACGTGTCAAATGAGTTATTTCTGGATTTAATAATTGAGCATTGTTATATATAAATATTTTATCCAAAATTTCAAATTTTAGATATAATCATTTTTAAATATCAAGTCCCGAGTTTGAGCGTTTCAAAAAGGGGGTGTTTGTTTCAACTTTTCAGAGCTAACTTATGGTTTTTAGTTTTGAAAAATTTATTTTAGACTGTTTGGTTAAACTTATTTTTAATTCAAAAAAGCTGATTCTGAGAAGCTGTTCAGCCCTTGCTTCTAATTATCATCTTCTGCTGTGGACATGTTAATTTATGGTTATACTCCTAAATTTTTTTATTTTTTATTTTTTTAAAATAGAAAAAGACCCAAATGGACTATAGATTATTATTATTTTTTTTTATAAGAAATGTAGACAAACAAAAAATAAAAATTAATTGAAAAAGGTAGTTCACAGCTTATTTAACAAACACTACTCAGCAACTTAAATCCATAACCTAACAGCTACACCAAACAGATTAACAACTTCTGATTAAAGTCATAATCTATAGTCTGTTAAGCTTTAATCTATAAGCTGTTTTAACAGCTACACCAAACGGGGCCAAAGGCTTCTATTGGCTCTAGTGGATTTACATGTTTGTTTTGATGATTTAAATTATTTATGTTATTAATCTTTTGTATATATTATTTTTTTAAAAAAATTATATTTTCAAAATTATAATTATAGTTTTTTTTAAGATAAATATAATACAATTATATAATTATGATTATCAAATTAATTTTAATTTTTTATGAATAATTTACACCAAAAATTAATAAAATGAATAGTTCAAATTATAGAAATAAAAAAAATGCTTCACACCATTAATTCAACACCACTAATGCACCACTAATGACATGACATCACGTGGACTCCTCTATTGATGTGATAATTTAGCCTTTGTTTTTGTTTTTTTCCTTGCACTTGTCAACTCATTAATGATGCTTTTAGAGTTTCCAATTTAGTGCTCTAAATCGGGACTGTAGAAATAAAATCGAGATAATTAAAGTTAGGTTTGGCATCTCCTAAAAAAAAATAAAAAAGTTACTATCCTATTTATTATAAATTATATTATCTCTCTACCACATCACTTTAAACTTAACACATATTTCATAAAAAAATCAAAATATACACTTAGGGGTTGTTTGGGATGATTTAAATAAGTGTATTTTTTGACTTTTTATGAAATATGAGTTGGGTTTAGATTGGGTTTGAAGTGATGTGTTAGAGAGGTGATGTGACTTATATAAGATGATGTGACTTAAATAGAATAATAACTTTTTGTCTTTTTTCAAGTATGCCAAACTTGACCTTATTATTTATATATTTATTTTTATTTTTGTTGGTATAAAAATCTAAGCAAAGGCGTTGAAAAGTAAAAGGGTAGTTGATTTATTTGGCTTGAACAAGAAGCAAAGAAAATATACCCCATTTGGACAGCACGTGAACAATTATTTTATCCCTAATAAAGCTAGTGGATTGGAAAGGGGTTGAAGATTTCTCTCCGAAAGATTGGACAGGATTGTTAGAGTCGGTGAGGCTTATTAATTTAAATTATTTTATTTATTTTATCTGATTATGCACTTGTTATTCATAAAAAAAAAATCACGTGGATTTAATATTTTTAGCCATTTCATTTTAGAGAATTTGTGTCCAAAAAAAATTAACCTTCAATGTGTTTTAAAATTAGACAATTTATTTTTTTAGGTACAAATGCGATAAAATGAAAGAACTACTAATATTATATCGGCCTAAATTTTTTTATGAATAATATAAAAGAATGACTCTATAAAATAAACGATTCAAATCATGGAAATGAGACTCGTAATGGGCTTTGTTAGCCCAAACAATTCTCTCCAATTCAGATGAAAACGGGAGAAAAGTCTCTCCGCATTAGAAAATTTTGTCATGAAATTTGTCTAGAACAGTGATGTATGGTTGAGATTGCATTATTATTTTATAAAATTTATGGTTTAAAAAAATTGAAGTAATACAATGATGTTTTTGGATAATTTTTTTATTGTAATAATATTTTTGAATGGGTTGGGCTTTGTGGAGTCCATTACATTACATTTTTCGATAATTCAAACCGTTTATTTGTATAACCCTCAATGTCTGTTATCCATAGAAAAAAACAATTTGATCCAATAATGATAACAATTTTCTTTTATTACATAGGGACACTTACGGGTCGATCCTATTAACCATCCTTATTTACTCATAGTCCTATCTTATTTTTCACCTATCAATATCTCTAAAAAATGTCCCCTGGTTATCTTTTTCATCCCCATTATTCACACTGCCATGACTGCATCTTCTCTTGCTAAAGACCACCTTCGGTTGTCGGCAATTATCTCCGGTGATAGTTTTTGGTGACCACCTCAGGCACCGACGACTATCTCTGACACCAACGACCACCTTCGGAAATAATTTTTAGCAACATTTTTTTTAGATTTTTATTCAACAAAAATAAACATCACATTACTACTGCCAGCAACTCTAAGTGCACTTTTTAGATTTTTATTCAACAAAAATAAAAATCACATTACTACTGCCAGTAACTCTATATAGACATTAACTCACTATCATTTACTTATCTACTTATTCACTCACAGAAATACAGCCACACATAGACATATACACAGAAAAAGTACAAAGACTAAACTAATAAATTAATCAAAAACGCATTCAGTGATAAATTTATCACTGAAAAAATCACTAATAAAATTACTCATAATTTATCAGTTATAAATTCACTACAACAAAAAATAGTTTTGGCAACACAACAAAATTCATTGCCAAAAGGTAGAAATCGTCAACAAAGAGCTTTGCCGACCCGTAGAGCTTCATCGGTTACCTGTCGCCGAAAGTGTGTTAGGAAAAGTTTTTATTGACGAAAAATTCATTGCATCGCCAAAGTATGTCTTTAGCGACAAATATCTTTGTGGGCAAAAGCCTTCAACCATTGTCGCCAATTTACCATTGTGTTGGCAAAAGTGGTTCAAATAAGATGATTATCTGTCACTTTTGCCGACTCAAATTTGCATCGGTAAAAATGATACTTTTGGCGACAACTTGATTGCGTCGGAAAAACATCTAATTGTTCTATAAAAAATATTTAATTTGTTATTTGGGATAGCAAAAATTACCATCACAAATAACAAATCACTTTTCAATAAAAAATTATTAAATAATATCCACACTTAATTCATTGACATCCAAATATATAAATAAATTCTATTTATGATAACAACAATAGCCCACGTGTTCTTACAATCCAAAATTTAAGTTTATGTACAACAATACCTAAAATTAAACTAAGTACAAAATAAATAAAATCAAGTCAATCCCAATTGGAACGATGTGTTTAATGCAACTATAGCATCACCACTGACAATATGCAAATACATGTGAACAAGCCTCTTCTCATTTCCAAGTAGCACTCGAGCAAGATCATAATCTACATCTTCAACAACCTACATTCAAGAAAGAAAAATAATCTTTTTTATTATTAATATTGTCATGAAAATTTAAACTTGCAATTTTAAAGGATTGAGATTTAAGGGAAATGCATGAAGAAATCTCAATAGAATTGAGTTAAAGCATTGACAAAAAAGAAAAATATCCCAAGCGGCAACAGTTATACGGGGGGAAAAAGAATTTCTAATAATTTCTTAACATAACAAGAGAAAAATAAACAATAAATTAACTATACTTGGCACAATAGTTCACCACCAAACATTGCTGAACTAATCTACAAAATAAAGTTCAATTATTTTGATAAGTAAAAATAAGATAATTCAAATCAAATAACATAAAAAGAAACTAGTTTTTGACATCTGAGATGAATTCACAGTCACGATCAAATGCCAAGAGTTAGAACCAAAACCAAAATTTCCGAGTAGTCGATTATCTTGGTTTGTTACATGTTCTAAAAGAAAATGAAAAATTATGTATTTTCAGACAACCAAATTGATTATATTATTTAGGGTTAATCAAGTATTACTTTAAATGCATCTTCATCAAAACAATCATCTCCAACATAAATTGGGAGCACATCATCAGAATTACTTAAGCCTACATCAATTTAATTCGTAATTCGATTGTTACAAGAAAACAAAATTAATTTTCACAACTAACAAAGAGAGAACTATTTAATAGCAAAGGCCAAAAATTTACTCACCCAGGGATTCATGTAAGAACTTGACAGCTTTACCCTTATACCAATCAAGCACAGGTCGAACCTCTAAAACTTGAAACACAGAAAAAAGGGAAAAAATTAGCAGGATTGGGGAAACAAAATGAGCCAAGAGCAATAAACTTTTAAATTGGATCGATCTGTGAACTTTCTGTCCATGTGTCAATCGTAGACGAGGAGAGTCCTTTAGTGTTTCTTGGGCACATTGTGCAATTGTTTTCCAATATTGAAAAAATTCAAGAAACCACATAAATAAAAGACCTATAGTTGGTGAAACAAAAGTGCCACTGAAATAACTAATTCAGCTTATGGTGCTTAGAACAACCCCTACCTTCTCATCCACATTACGGTAATGTATCGAGACACAAAACTTATTGTTCTGTACTTTTGCTCCTTTAATTGACTTAGTAGTCTCAACAAGGGACCTATAAATCTAATCAAGCAAGGGCAAATCAGAATGTTTTTATGTTATAAAAAGAAATTAAAACTTACAAAGTCAGCATAAAATATCATAGACTAGTACTAAAAAAAACATATTGGCCCACCTTATCGACCATAGGTAAGAATTCATTAGCAGGTTGGAACAAGTTCACTTCCTTACCCTACGTTCACAAGAAACAAAATCATGAAATTGATTTGGACCTTCACCTCATACTTTTACAAGCTTTGGCTTGCATCATATTGCACCAGAGTAGTGTAGCTACTAGTCTCACCGGGCCACTGTGGTGCAATATGACCAAGTAACCAATCATCTTTGTCGCACCCCAAAATTTGGATAATTAAATATTACATTAGGACTAAACCCTAATTAATATTCCATCATCCAAATCCTAGGGGTAAAAAAAAAAAAACTAAACGCCAACCAAACTATCCATCATAATTTCATAACTAACCAATACCTCAACATTAAGATAGCAACAACTAGTCACATCCACCATAATCTCATAACTAACCAATACCTCAACATTAAGGTAGCAACAACTAGTCAAAACAACTTAAATAAAGTACGGTTACAAACAATGTCAAATTATTCCAATACTAAAGTCATAAAAAAAATAATAAATGCATAAACTAATATCAACCCTAAGCTCAAGAAAACAAAAGAAGTCTAAACGACATGTCCTACGATCATAGTTATTTCTTGTCACCACCATAGCCTCAACTAATCCTGCAAAGGAAGCTCGGCTGCGCTCAAACAGAATGCACCCGAGTTGCCAAGAGACAAACAGGTCAGTATACAAGTATACTGGTATGAGTACAAGATTTAACACCCACGTGTCTACCAGACACAAACAAAAATACATTTAATTCTTGTTACGAGACAAGACAAGTAGTTTCATCCGCACCGAGACGAATGGGTAGTTTCTCGAGATACGGTGGCATTTAGTTTCTTGCCCGTACACAACGAAATATAAATTAAATATAAAATAAACAAAATAGAAATAAAAATATGATAGGTAAGCCCTGCATAAAAAGTTAGTAAGACCCACCATCCTGCAAAATAAAGTTAGTATAATTTAATCATAAGTAATTTGCTAAAGAAGTATAAAAATGCACCGTTTCATACTTAAATAATTTGAACTAACCAAAACTCAAAAAATAAAAGTTGTACAGAGTCAAATTTATTAAAAGACAACGAGAACGAATATAGTAGAAACTGAACAGATTGAGAAAAAAAACTTGATAGAAGAATCTAGACGGATTTCAACCGAAAAATCTGAAACTGAAAACGAACAGAAACTGTCCTAAGATAATTTTTTTCGAAAAAGTTCAAAACACGAAAAGTGTGCAGAATAATGTTTTACTAAAGGTTATACCAAATCAATAAAAATGAGCTCGTTTCATGAGTTAAAACAATATCTAAAGTCTGCATCGCCAAAATGAATTAAAACCACTATAATCAAGATCATCCGATTATAAGTTTTAATCGATCTTTTTAATAAAAAGTTAAAATACAAAAGTTATCTAAAATCACGTATACATGCCTCTGCTCAAATTTCATAATTTATCGAGGTCATTTACTATTTTTCAGCCTATACAAATCAATACAATACACACTATAACCATAAACTCATAATTAAATTCTTTGTACCTTAACTCCACCACTTTGGCCCTCTACTTCCGGCCTACACATATATCCCATGTGCGTCCCGTATACCTAATACAGCTCCGAAGCCAAACTTGCATGGGGATGTCGTCCCGAGTTTGACCTACACTCCCCGGATGGTTAGCATATATGTACGCACATAAATTAAAGGACTCGTCTACTCATGAGAACGAGGCAACAATATATATATACATAGCATCTCACTCATGAGAATAAACATAACAATGCCAAGCCCAAGGCATTTAAATAAATCTCATAATACTCACTTTTTTTTTTTTACACTCTTTTTTTTATAAACTCAAATAAAACAACAATCCATGGAGTCATGGTGGAGTATAAAGAATTTATCTATGGGTTCTTAATTAATTTTAATTTCATATAACCACGAGTGTGATTACAACCATAAAATAAATCTATATAAAAATCCTAAGCCTTGCATACACAACTAATCAAAATAATTAAAATCAATCAATCATCTAAAAAATCCTAAGCCTTACATACACAACTAATCAAAATAATTAAAATCAATCAATCATCTAAAAATCCTAAACATTACATACACCACTAATCAAAATAATTAAAATTAATCTATCATCTTTATGTAAAAACACAATCAAACTAACATCAAATAAATAAAAATAAATAAATAAAAACAACGAATTAAACATAAATCAAGGAAAGTGAGTTTTGTACTCACAATTATTTTTTTGAAGATCAAAAAATCACTTAAGAAAATTAATGGAGCCACCAAAATAAAACCCTAACTCTTTTCTTCCTCTCCTTTCTCTTTCACACACACAGTCGCTAGACTTCTCTTTTTCTTGATTTCTCTCTCTGTCTCTCTCTCTCTCTCTCTCTCTTCCTGTTGCTTTTTCTTTGTTGCCACACCTCTCTTTCTTTTCTTTTCTTTTGATTGATTCCTAATCCTATTCTAATTTAATAACTATTATAATATATTATATTATATAATACAACATAATTATAATGTATATAAATATAAATATAAGATTAAATATATATATATATATATATATATAACACCTCTTTTTTTTATAAAGAATATAAAGATATAAATATATAGATTAATTAAATAATACATTAAATTAATTAAATATCACATTAAATTCTCATATAACCACACAATTAATAAAGTCAAAAATAAAAAAAGATAATAATCATAATCATAATAATAATAATAAATAATGACTTAAGAAAATTAGAGTCGCTACAATATATACACCTCAAAAAAATCTCGCCCCGAGATTCGATAAGAGAGAGTACTAAGCAAAAAGTTCTGGGTGCATACGCCAAACTTTCTCTTCTAGCTCCCAGGTAATATCGTTCTCATCTTCACTCCATTACACTTTTACCAAGTTCACTTTCTTGCGCCGCAACTGCTTTACATCCCGATCTAGAATAGTAATCGGTCGCACCATATACGTGAGATCATCATTAATCTTCAACACTTTTAGTGATACTACTTGGGAAGGGTCTTGTACACACTTTCGCAATAAAGATACATGGAACACATTGTGAATCATAGCTAAAGCAGGTGGTAGAGCTAATTTGTAAGCCACATTACCAATCCTCTCAATGATCTCATATGGTCCAACAAATCTAGGTGCCAACTTTCCCTTCTTTCCGAACCGCATGATACCCTTCATCGGCGAGACCTTCAAAAACACAAAATCTCCAACATTCAACTCAACCCCCTTATGTTTTCTATCAGCGTAACTCTTCTGACGACTTTGTGCAGTCTTAATACGTTCCCGAATAATGTTCACTTTCTCCATTGTCTTTCTCACCAGCTCTGGCCCTAACAATGGCGCATCTCCTACCTTCATCCAACAAGCAGGTGATCGACATGGCCTCCCATACAAAGCCTCAAAAGGTGCCATCCCAATACTGGTGTGATAGCTACTATTATAAGCAAACTCCACCAATGGCAAGTGTTCTTCCCAACTACCGCCAAGATCGAGGACACGAGCTCTCAACATATTCTTTAAGATCTGATTTACCCGCTCAGTTTGTCCATCTGTTAGAGGATGATAAGCCGTGTTCAAGTCTAACCTAGCACCCAAATCATGTTGAAAACTCTCCCAAAACTCTGCCACAAGTAACGGATCACGATCCGAAACTATAAAAACTGGTGCGTCATGAAGTCACACCACCTCTCGAATATACAACCTAGCTAGTTTGTTCGTAGTTCGGTGAACACTGATAGGAATAAAATGAGCAGACTTGGTGAGTTGATCCAATATCACCCAAATAGATTCATTGCCTCGCTTAGACCGTGACAATCCATCCACGAAGTCCATAGAGATATACTCCCATTTCCAAGTAGGAATCTCAAGAGGCTACAAAAGTCCAAACGGTCGTTGGTGTTCTGCCTTAACCTGTTGACATACATAACATTGAGAAACATACTCTTCTACGTCTTTCTTCATACCTTTCCACCAAAACATCCTCTTCAGGTCATGATACATTTTAGTCCCACCAGGGTGAATGGTATTTTGGGACCTATGGACATCATCCATAATCTTGTTCCTCAATTCAACAATGTTAGGTACACATAACCTGCCTTTGAATCGCAATCCTCCATCTGAGTCCACAGACCAATCAGTAGGACAATCATCGATCAAATCCACTACAAGGTTATCGAGTTGCTAACGAGAAACCCATCTAAATTCTGCATCTGACGAACTTTACCAAATAATATCGACTATACGGTCAAACTATCAATGTATGCCCTCTTAGCACTCTCTATTGGTTGAATATCATGTATCGAAATTAGCTCCAATGACTTCCATTCTTAAATCATCAAAGAAGCTATAATCCCATGTTGTCGACTAAGTGCATCAGTGACCACATTTCCTTTCCTCGGGTGGTAAAGGATCTCAAAATCATAACTATTGACGAATTCAACCCACCTCTGTTGCCTCGTGTTCAACTCTTTTTGAGAAAAGAGATATTTGAGGCTCTTGTGATCTGTGTACAACTCAAAGTGCTCCTCAAACAAGTAGTGTCGCCACACTTTCAACGCAAAAACAACTGCTGCCAACTCTAAGTCATGAGTAGGGTATCGTCTCTCATGAGATTTTAACTGTCGAAAAGCATAAGATACAACCTTTTGATGGTGCATCAACACACATCCCAACCCAGTTCCACTTGTATCAGTAAACACTACTAATTTTTCCCCTTACTGGTATAGTCAACACCGGTGCTTTAGTCAACACTGGTGTTGTAGTCAACCGCTGTTTTAACTCCTGGAAAGCTTTCTCACAATCATCTGTCCATACAAACTTCACATTCTTGCGGGTCAACTTAGTCATGGGTACTACAATAGTGGAAAACTTCTCTATAAATCTCCTATAATAACCGGCTAGTCCTAAAAAACTTCTCACCTCTGTAAGGTTCGTAGGCTGCTTCCATTCTTTGACCTCAACAACTTTATCAGGATCTACTTCTATCCCCTGATTAGACACAACATGCCCTAAAAATCGAACTTCTTTCTCCCAAAAGTGACACTTACTGAACTTAGCGTATAATTGCTGCTCTCTCAAAGTCTGCAACACGGTTTTCAAATGTTCTCTGTATTCCTCCTCATTCTTAGAATACACCAGGATATCATCTATGAAGATTAATCATAAACTTATCTAGATACAGTTGAAAAATTCTGTTCATCAAGTCCATGAAATAGGTAGGAGCATTTGTCAAACCAAAAGGCATTATAAGAAATTCGCACAATCCATACCGGGTCCGAAAAGTAGGAAGCGGTATACTTTCCTCTGGAACACTCATCTGATGGTAACCCGTTCTAAGATCAAACTGAGAGAACATGGCTGCCCCCTTCAACTGTTCAAACAAGTCATCAATTCTAGATAGCGGATACTTGTTCTTGATAGTCACCTTATTTAGCTCTTTGTAATCTATGCACATACGGAGAGTGCCATCTTTCTTGGAGACAAAGATCACAGGTGCTCCCCACGGGGAGTTACTTGAACGAATGAACCCTTTCTAAAGCATCTCTTACAGCTACTTTTTCATCTCCACAAGCTCTTTAGGTGCCATTCTATATGCCGCCTTAGAAATCGGTGCAGTTCCCGGCACTAGGTCAATGCGAAATTCTACTACCTGTCGAGGTGGAGGTCCAAGTATCTCCTGAAATACATTCTCAAACTCACGCACCACATCTACCTCACTAATATCCTGCTTAGGGATTTCTACCGAGCATAGAAAACTGGTCATCATCGACTTTTCTCCATCGCTAGAAGTGTGGGTAAGCCGTGGCATATCGAGAATATCTATAATTACAGACCTTCTAACACAATCTAGAGTCACAAAGTAATTTTGCAGCCAATCCATACCCAAAATAATTGTAAACCTCTCAAACCCTAAAACAATTAAGTCTACATACAAGACTCTACCCACAAAGTCAATCTCAAAATCTTTACACATCTCATAAAGAGTAATTGCCCCTCCTAAAAGGGTCTCAACACGAATAGGTCAAGACAAGGAGGTAGTTACAATACGTTCTCTTTCTACAAACTGTCTAGATATAAAAGAATGAGAGGCACCCGTATCAAAAAGAACTCTAATGGGTTCTTGAAAGAGATTAAAAGTACCTTGCACTTTGTCAGTTCCTGGCATAACTGCAAATGCCCTGGCTGGAGCTGCCTGACCCTGTCGCGCCTGCTGTCTCTGAGGGCAATTCTTGATTACATGTCCTAACTGCTGACACCCAAAACACTTCCTATTGATCGGTTGAGGTGCTACTGGTCTGATAGGTGGGGGTCCCTCCAACTGAGGTACGGGAGAACGATAACCCAACTGTGGCACTTGTTACTGCTGTCCTTAATAACCCTGTGGGCGCAATTCACCCTGTCTCTGATAATAGTGCCCCTGGGGCTGAAGCTATAATCC